AAAAAAAATAATAGAAACCATCACAAAAATTCAATATAAAAATCCTCTACATATTGACAGGGAGGGGAACGTAATATATCTGGTCGCGCGTGCCGCCAGCCGCCGCTGAAGGGTTTAATGGCGTTATATCGGCCGTAGCAGCTGATACCGCTGCAGGTGCTGCCGTGGCTTAAACTAACTAATATCTTTTGTAATATTCCTACTCCTGTACCTCGGTACGTGTTTCTTTTGCCTGAATTTCGAAAAAAGAACTTGCCTTATATTCTCTGTCTACCGATTTCTCGAAATTCAAAAAGAGAACTTGTATCATTGAAGCGTAGATTAAAAAAAATTGTGCTTGAGATTATCTTTTCTTAATCTATGACAATCACTGACATTATGGCACTATTTTGATAGACAAAAAGTCCATAATGGCGGAAGTTTTGTAGTATTCCTTCAGTAGCTTCTCAAATTCCATTCATTGGAATAATATTTATCTATTGCGGCATTTATAAAAATAAACAATACAGTAAATTCTTATGGGAAATAATACAAAAGGCTTAGCGATAAGCTAAGCAACCTCTTCCGGACAACCTACATTATTTTTAATATAATAATTGAGATGGTTTTTTTTCATTTACTTCCATCTGAGCACATCCGAAGTACTCTCAAAATTTAGTATATCTTTAAAATCTAATTCGAGCGACACGTGTAATAAATTCCTTTCAAAATATTTTATCGGTAAACGAGTGACTATATTAAACAAGTAAATTTTCCTCCAACAACCAATAATTTCAAAAGTAATTGAAGATTTTGTTCCACAAAAAAAAAACACTGTCTTCTTTCGTAGCAAGACCAGTTATTATTAATTTAAGAAGTAAACTTTTTTTTACCTTGCCCATGCTAACGGTATATGCTGGCCACCAGCGAAGAATGATAGGTTTTTTTTATACAACTTAGAATGGCAAACAAGCTGATGGCCCACCTGATGGAAAGTGGTAAATGTTGCCTATAGACATGAGCAATACCATGGACATTACAGAGTATACTGTTTCGCCCATAATACCCCCCATGCGTTGCCATTCCTGAGTACTCAGGTGTTATTCCTCTGTACCCAGTAAATTCACGCAATATCCCACCCTTCAAGCCGAAACACAGGCATGCAAACACAACTGCTTCACGGTTGAAACACGAATGGGACAGAGGTACCCAAGCAATTGACTTTTGTACAGTCCTGAATACACATGGAACTCAGCACGATGGTTTCCAGTGGGTAAGATTTATTAAGAGCTCGACTTAATAGGATATATTGTACTTAATATACATTGATTTAATTGGATTGAATAATTGTTAGTTAGTATACATTGACGCTTATCTGTGAGAGCTGTATACACATTTAATTGATGTGTTCATATGACCTTAAGCTTGGTAGTGAGGAGTGAGATGTTTTTGTTCAAGTAAACTTAGATTTAAGCATTTTTGAATAATAGATAGATAGATACTCTTTATTGTTTCCTCCAAAAGATTACAATAGTAAACTTATTATAGATATAAACAATTACAAGAAATAATCACAATGAGAAAACAATGGGCGACCTTATCGCTAAGAGCGATCTCTTGCAGGCAACCTTTGGATGGAGAGGAGTAATTATAAACAATTTGTATATAATATAATAGTTTTTCGCTTTTACTTACTTATAACATTGTATATTACCTGCTTAATTATTGTGAGCATATTGTTGGTGTGTCTTTTATAAATAAATAAATAAATATTGTTAGTAATAGGACTGGTAGTTCACATTATGACCCCCCTCCCTCCCTGCCCCAACTAATTTATTGAGTTGAGTCTTATAGTAAAAAAAAAAAAAAATTACAGCCATAGTGAGAATCTGTAGACCTATTTTTACAATCTTAAAATGTTAATAACAAAAAACTTAAATATTGCGCAGTAAAATCCTGCTTCGCGTGAAACAGAATGTTGTCGGTGCAAAGCACAAATTGCGCATTTATGCGTTGGGATCTCAGTTAATAGCTTTAATTATTTTTTTTTATTTACTTTATTATATAGAATAATGATACTGTAGGTATTTTGATCGATGGCATGAAAATGAAACGGTTACCCTGCCTGCGCTATCGATATACGCTGGTGTGGCATTAATGAATAAAGTCAGGCTAGTTAGCCTATCGTGACGAATTCACCAGGAACTGACCACAATGATCATCGGTGAGCGAGGTGTGTTCACGTGAGGTTGTGTGTTCCCTCGACAATAGGTCACACAATCCTCAGAATTTCGTGAAATATTCTTGTAAAATAAAAAATAAATAAAAATAGCCACAATGATCTTCCAGGGAGACCGCGGGGAAGTCGAGTATATTGCAAACAATGAAACTCTATTCCTAACAAAATTTTTTGTTTTTAAAAAAATCCGGCGTTCCATTGCTTTCTGCCTTCTCTAATGAGAGACAGGCTTGACAGATATGTATGTATAAAATTCAGACTATGGCTTTGTATGTTTATATCTATGTAAATTACTTTCGTGCAAAGTCTCCCTCTTTATTTACATATTTTCAAAATCTCTATATAAATTTACAAAACGATTACAAACAAACTGGTTGTTTGCACAGGACAGCGTATGCTGAGCGAGCTAGTACTGCAATGAACAGTAATATTAATAACAGTAACACTCTTTGGTTTGAAAGTCCACGTGTTTTCAATAAAATAATAAAAAAAAAAGTGAGATTTTTTTTTATTTTCTTAGATATATAATTCATTTGCATCAGTTAGCACACAAATAACAACAGATAAAAGAAAAAATATATACTCAATTCGGAGTTATGAATATTTCCAATCCAATGTGTCAACAAAATGTATTAATTTTAACCAACTTCAAAAATGGAGAAGGTTCTCAATTCAATTATATTTTTTTATGTCTTATAACTCCGTCAGTTTGTAAACCGATACGGAAAATTCTTTCTTTATCTTTTTTTTTACAACACAGGGGGCAAACGAGCATGCGGCTCACCTGATGGTAAGTGACTACCGCCGCCCGTGATCACCCACAGCACCAACGGCATTGCAGGTGTGCTGCCGGCCTTTTAAAAGGGAATATGCTCTTTTCTTGAACGTTATGTTGTCGTATCGGTTCGGAAATACTGCTGCTGGAAGTTGATTCAAAAGGGTGGTTGTGCGTGGAAGAAAGTGCCTTGAAAAACACACGGTGGAAGACCGCCACTCGTCCAGATGATTGGGTGAAATTTTAGTTTAAGACGGGTTATACGTTGGTGAAAATCAGCAGCAGGTATCAATCCGAATAATTCCTCAGAGCACTCCCCATGATAATTTCGGTAAAAGATGCACAGATATGCAACATCTCTACGCAGTTTCAGTGGGTCGAGTCGGACAGTAAAGCGCCGGTCGTCAACAATTCGGCTGCCCGACTTTAAATGCGGTCTGACGGAAGGAGTTGGTACTGTGGCGCTCCTGACCACAGGTAAACAGTATTCCATGTGTGGCCTCACTTGAGCTTTATACAGTTTCAGGCAGTGTTCCGGCGTGAAATACCGTCTCACCCTACTGAGCACCCCCAACTTTTTGGAAGCTATCTTAGCTTTTGCCTCCAGATGACCGCAAAACTGGTCGTCGCTAGATATATCGACACCATGAATCCCCCAGACTCGACTTATTATTGAAAGAAGAGCCCTGAAAGTGAGGAGATACGACAAACGGCATCTAAAATATCAGAAAGGATATACTGACAACTTGGTCCTATAAATTTTTTTACAAAATCAGTTCAGTACTTTATTTTTTAAATCAAAATAACGGGCTTAATCACAATTGAATTAGTTTTTTTTTTTTTTTTATGGAACATAATCATATCACGTATCAGATGTAAACCAAAGTTTTAAGCGTTAATGTTAAGTTAAGCGAAAATTTTAAGCGTTATTACAAAGCAGTATGCAATGTTTACGCTGTTTGCGAGATTTTTACTTTTTCTATTAATTTTTCAATATAATTTCTCCCAAATACTAAATAATAATCGTTTATTATGGTAACCCTATTCAGGCATACATTAATAAAAAAAAAGTTACTCAGTTTTTGGCGAAGTATTCGTATAGTACTCGTACTTTATAAATCGTATATATATCGTATTTAGAAATTGCTTCAGAAAGTGATGCATCTATTTAAAACCTAGTCTCGTCGAAGTATATGGATTATTGTTATAATGTATTCTAGTAAAATTATACATTTTCACTGAAAAAACACATGTCAGAAAACGACAAAAAATATTAACCTTCCATACAAATATTTTTTGATTTATCTATTATTGAAAAACTTTTCGAGAAACACAACTGAAAGATTAAAATCTATTTTGAACTTTGTCGTGATCGTGCAAATATTCTTGACGTAGATGGAGAACCGGATACCTTAGATTTTGGCATAAATTACTTTTTTTACATAGTTTACACTCGAAGAAATTATAGATATAGAACAAATTATATTTCAAAATTGGAAATATGATTAAAACTTGAAATTACACTTATTTCTGTGTGATAAAAAAAATTTTGAAGAGGGCAGGATTTGAGCATACCTTTTGCGCGATACCAATGCTTCGAAATATTTTTTTAACACAATAATTATTGATACATAATTTTCATATTTTAATAATATTTTTAAAGCAATTTTTTATTAGCAAATTGTCTAGTGTTTAATCATAAATAAATGTTTACATATTTATATCTTAATTTTATGTATTTCATTTAATATATTTCGTGGGAAAAAATATTTATTTCCATTAATACTGAGTTTCGGTTTAGTTAGATACCATAGTTTAAATGCCTTTTCCATTACACCCTATTTAAAAATATATTTCGTTCCCACTATTTAATTATTTACACTTCAAAAATATTTCATCTCGTTATTAGTTACTCTATTGCTGTCATAAAACGACACTATATTGCTTTTGCCATACGTCGTTTCCCATAATTTAGAATGTTATAATAAATTACATCCCGATGCTTACCTTCAGCGTTTTGACAGCTGACAGCAAACAGCCTTCCGCCGGTTTTTATTATTGCAGTCTTTCACAGTTCACTATTATTAAAAATAAATCACTGCAAGAACAAAACGGAACGCAACGATGTCTCAATTTAAGAAAAAAACTAAACTAGTATTTATGGTCGATTTGAAATTTAAATTTCGAACGCGATCTCTCGGCGCGGTAAACGAGTGTGAGACGGTTACGTGTGACTCACAACGCGTTCAACTAGTAACTGAGAGGGGCGGGAACGGCCGGCGCCCACTGTGTATAGGAAAATCGCTTTTCAGAAGAAAGACTGGGCATTGCGTTGTGTTCACGTGTTTTCCTCCCACAAATGATAGGTATGAACTGTATAAAATTACACACCCCCGGCTGATTTTCATCCACCTCTGGACATCTCAAATAAGTATTCGTTATTTTTAAGGCCGGGGTAATTATGAGTAAAGTGGACTCGCAACCATACTGCCAGCAGTATACCTACTCTAAAAAGCCGACGCTGTCTTCTTAAAAGAATTCGTCACGATTCTCCAACTATCCTGACCTAATCCTCATGTGAACCAAACAGCCCTGTGGTTCCGTCATAGAATAGGCCACTCATTGTTTGTCATAAGAGACGACTAATATTTAAAGGATAGATAGCTGCGTCCCTCTTAAAATATTACCGACAACTAACTACGGTTGCCAAACAGGGGGGCGGGGGAAGGGATTGTTAGTAATGGAGACTGAGAATCCCATTGCTAGCAATATACCCAACCATGTCGACCTCCTCGCGGTTCTCCCTGGAAACTAGCATGGTTAATTCCTGATGAATTCATCATGATGAGCTAACTGGCCTGTTTTCATTCTCATCTATCACCCTTCACTGGTGCTCTGCCAGCGTATCGCGTTAGCGCAGGCGGGGTTACCATACCATTTTCACCCATCAAAAAAAACTACGGTTGCCAACCTGCCTGCCAAAAGTAACTACTGGTAAACCCTCCATAGGGGGAGGTCTATGTTCAGAAATGGCCAGCTAACGGCTAGTATAAAGGACTAAATAAACACTTAAAATGTCTACAAATGAATCTGAGGCTATCGGATTAAAAATGAAAAATATTTATTTTTTTTTATCATTGAAACAACAGGGCGAGGTTTTTCCTGTGGATATAAAAATTTCTGTTCTAACAATATTATAATAAACATGTATGTCTGCTGTATGCTTTTGTTTGCCACCTTCGGTGTATAAAAAAAACTGCAATTAAATGAGCCTCCTAATGAACGTCATTTAAATCATGTAATCTGTTTTAATTGAAGTTAAAAAAACATAACGAAATTTTATGGAAATTATCGTAGAGGACGCTCCCAAAATGAGATTAGTAACAAATGGGAACAATCAAACAATTTACCGATTTTTTACTTAGATAACTATTGGATATCAGCACTTCAGACTGCCTTCTAGTCGTTCGGTCAGTCACTTGTTTGTTTTTTTTTTACAACACAGAGGACAAACAAGCACGTGGCTCACCTGATGGTAAGTGACTACCGCCGCCCATGATCACCCACAACACCAGCGGCATTGCAGGTGTGCTGCCGGCCTTTTAAAAAGGAATAAACTCTTTTCTTGAAGGTTATGTTATCGTATTGGTAGGGAAATACTGCTGCTGGTAGTTGATTCCAAGGAATGGTTGTGCGTGGAAGAAAGTGCCTTGAAAAACGCACGGTGGAAGACCGCCACTCGTCCAGATGATTGGGATGAAACTTTAGTTTGTGGCGGGTTGTACAGTTTCATAGGTTTTATTAAAACAAACTATAAAAACGTTTATTTGGATTCTACGCTACCATAGACAAAAATCTTCAATCGTTTTAAAAAAAAAATAAATAAAATCAATTCTGAATTTTTGAAAATATAACGTAGACACAAAAGAACACATGTGTAAAGACAACCTACCTTTTATAGTCACTTATTAATAATAATAATTATCTATCAACAACGTCTAGTCTGTAAGTCAATCGGGACACGATATTCTGTTGTACACTGCTCTGTGCACACCTGTTCAGACAGACAAGTGTGTGGTGTTTGCGCAGGTGGGCACAGAGCACAATAGACACGTGCCCGGGTGAAATTAAATATGGCATTTTACATGTTATTCTTTCGACGTGTAATGTAAGAAAAAAAAAAGAAAAAAATTAATTTACAATTTTAATTTTACCATAGATTGAGAATAAACTTTTTAACTTTTTTTTTAATTAATTTGAAATGAGAAGGGATTAGTTGAAACTTAGAAAATTGTAACCATCACTTACAGGCACGTACTGTTATAATAAGACATCCCAAATTGTAACGCTTACGATTTTTTTTTATACAACTTAGAATGGCAAACAAGCTGACAGGCCCACCTGATGGAAATGGTAAGCGTCGCCTATAGACATGAGCAGTACCATGGACATAACAGAGTATACTGTTTCGCCCATGATACCTCCCATGCGTTGCCATTCCTGAGGACTCAGGTCTTATTCCTCTGTACCCAGTAAATTCACGCCATATCCCACCCTTCAGACCGAAACACAGCCATGCAAACACAACTGCTTTACGGTTGAAACACGAATAGGACAGAGGTACCCAAGCAATCGAGTTTTGTACAAAGTCTCCCTCCCTAACAGATATGAATTTATTTATATAATAATTTTAATTGATTTATTCTTAATATGTATGTTAAACTATAAGGTAACTTAGATTATACAGATAGAGTGTCTCCATACAAATGCTTCGAAGAAAGCGCGTAATGTTTTATACAATTTTACTTTATAAATTGTTATGAATGTTTTCTTCATAATTTCTATATTTATTTATTTTGTTTTATAATTTTTACATCTCTTTAATACGTAAAAATTCATTTTGTTTATTAAACAATTAAATATAGATACGTCAAGACACATTGTGTGCGTAAGTGTATAGAACACTGATAAAAAAACGAGTCAGCTAATTTGACATTTAGCTGACAAAAGTTGACCCATTTTTGAGACTTAATGCTCTATCTATATAACCTAAGTAAGGTAAATACCTTATATAGGCCCATAAAAAAATTTATAATATAAATATTAATAATTATTGACTGTAAACTTTGAAATTTGACAATAGAATTTATTTTTATTTATTTATTTATTCATTAGTACAAATGTGTACATGGCGGACTTAATGCTAAAAAATTTATTAAATGAAACTACAATGGAATATATTTAAATAGTTAAAAATAAAAATAAATCTTCGAGATCACTGCCAGCAGGAGACTTGGACTAGGAGACTTGCTGCATTTCCATATGCTAAAAGCATTCTCTCCCAGTCAACCATAAGGAAGTGTCAGAATACTCGAATGCGGTACTACTAATTATTGATATACATACATACTAAAATTACATATATAAACGAATAAATATATATAAATAACAAATATACTTACACATATATGACATATACTATGTTATACACGAAATTGAGAATAATATAAAGCACTTACTGCTCGGATAAAGTAAAAAAGTGATCATAAACCTTTTTTTTTTTTTGAAAGACGGCTTAGTCGGTAGTCTCTTAATAGCATCAGGAATTTATGTTTTATTATTGAAATATTTTTAACGTTTATAAATATAATATATCTGCCACTGCCACTAATTGTGACACCCAAACTGGGTTTATATTATATATGTGATATGCAATAAATAAATAAATAAATAAACAAATCCCGGTCACGCGAACGAAGTCGCGCCTAAAAGCTAGTGTAATCAATAAATATCCAACAAACTACTCAACCACCCCCCGTCTAACCCTATCTCTATACTTACCACTTACCAGCAAAGCCTATCGCCCACCATAATCAATTCCCACCACCTCACATATCACATTTATTATTTATCCAATAGGACAGACAACGACTGATGGTGTCAAAAGCACCATCGACTATAGAAAACAGTGGTTACAGTTTGAATTATTAATGGCGGGGGCACCCATTCATGTATAAATTGGACAGTGTTTAATTATTAAATTTCTAATGGTGTATTTATTTTAATCGATTTAAAAAGAAAGGGTTTTTCAAGTACACTGTATTTTTTATTTCCCGATATAGGAAACAAAGTGTTATAATATTGCGTGCCTTTGTTTCTTTGTCTATAATAGATATCATAGACTACACACACTTTGTTTTTTTTTCCAATCATACAATAACACATTTTTTTTTTATTGTTAAAAGCACACATTATATTTTAATGTAATAACTATCGATTTTAACTTACGTGTATTTAGTAAGAACGCTCGACTAGTTTAAAGATTTTTTACCCATTACTTTGTAGATACTGATTGACCGAAATAATTTTCTCCATCGTAAATAGTATACTTAAAACAAATTTTATACCAATTGGTACAGCCATTAATTATGATACACATACCATAAATAATTTTCACATTTATTATATGAATAACAATGATTTTAATATATTAATGATCTAATCTAGTTATCCCGGCAAAGAACAGACCATCCCTTCCTTTCCCGTGAGTACTATAAGAGGCAACTAAGGATACTCAATGGTCAAGGGGTATGCAGCAACGTTCCTCTTAAAACATCAAAGCCTAATTGCGGTTATCAGCACACTTGCCAAACGTGGCAACTACTGGTTGAACATAGGCCTTCTCCATAAGGGGTTCAGCAAGAACAGTTGACGGCTGATATCTAATCGTGTGAATGAGAACTTTTATACATTAGAAAAAAATTGTACCAATACGAACATATTTAAGAATTACGTATTACAAGATTTATTTAATTTTATTTCTAACAAATTTAGTTAATAATTCGCTTGGCCTAAAGCTTGAATTTGGAGTTCAAAGGGTACTCCATAACTCTCAATATTGGCTGCCATATTTCTACGCCATGGCTTCGATTTCAATGTCTTTTCTAAAAACCTTTGCTTCTGTACTTTGGTCAACGGAAAAAGTCGTTTCTTACCATTTGATCGTTTCACTTCGTTACTTTTAGTTTTATAATAGAAATTGTAGAAATCCTCAGCTCCTAAACGTAAATTGCCACGGTCGGATATTTTGCTTATTTTGCTAAAAACTTTATCCTTATTTCTATAATCAACATTAAATAATGATTCCATATCATTATCTTCAGCGCTGTTAAGTTTATCATCACCATACATATAATCCATATCAACCCCTTCTAAGCTATCTTTGTTCCTCTTATCCACACTTTTTAAATCGCAGTTTCCATTTCTATAAAGACCATTTAGTCTCTTCAAATAGTCATCAGAATCTGCAATGTCTACTACTATAGGATTGAAATCATCAATAATTTTATATTTCTCGCCGTATTTTACGAATTCGGATATTATATTATTATTTTTGTTTTGTTTTATATTATTATTATGTTTTAAACTAAATTTATTATAATTATCTCTTTTATTTTGCTTATAGTACCCACATTTGAAGTTTTTACAAGCAAATACCTTGCTGCTTTTACTTCGTTTGCAGCTATCTCCAACGCATCCCATATGATTATACTTTTCGTCACTTGCATCATTTTCTAGATCTTTCTCTATATTACCTAATAGTTGCTTAAGCTCAACTTTGTCTTCAAAATTTGTTTTATCCTCGTACTGTTCACAGTTTTTACACTGTCTGTCTCTGTCACTTTCACCTTGACGGGGATTACCTCTATCCTTCTCTTTTTCGGTTTCTATATTTTTCAACAAAGAGTTATCTTTGAAGTACAAATTAAGTGAATGTATATTCAATAAATTTATCGGTCCAGTCTTGCAGTTATGTCCACGTTTCTGACATTTATTTGTATTTGTATTAACATCTGGTTTCAATTCATTAACAGATTTTATTTTATCGAGTAGTCTTTTCATGATTTTTGCATTCTCTGTAAATTCTAAACTGTCATCGTCACTTTTATGTAATTTTACTACTGTAAATAAAGATAGTAAAAATATATTGATTTGCAAAGACTTTAAATTCAGTATTTTAGTCAGAATCGATAGACAATATGAAACCAATATTTATACTTTTGACTTCTAATTTTAAATGCCGAAACGATTGTTTTAATTTATTATATCTCGTTAAATAAGCGTGATATTGAATTCAATATTAGATCATAAAAATAGTATGAGAGATTGTATCAAATACATAATTTTAACTTTTTTTTTTATAAAACTAATAACTAGGCTACATCTTAGTTTTATAAAATTTTAAATCATATTGAAGTGCCAATGGCTGATAACTGATACGCATAAGGGGAAAAGTAATTGTTAGCAATGAAGTTTGACAGCCCCATTGCTAGCAATATGCCCTATTAGGTCGATCTCCTCTTGGAACCACCCCCTGGAAACCATTAGAACAATTCTTGTTGAATTCGTCACGATGGGCTAACTGACCTGCTTCATACTCATTTATCATCCATCACTGGTACCTCGCTAGTGTATACCGATAGCACAGGCGGGGTAACCATTCCAATATCACTCATTAAAAAAAAACTGATACGCATGTAGGTTTATATTCATATGTATGTTTTTATTTTAACTTCTGTTTAGCACTACTACTGCCCACTCACTACTTCCTATGCCACTGTGTTAGGTTGACTGGAAGAGATCTCTTTTAGAGATAAGTTCGCCTTTGCTAACATTGTTATTAACTTATTGTTGTTACTGTATGTTTTAGTGCAATAAAGAATATATATAAGATTCTTGAATATAAGGTAATCTTTCATAATATAGAATGACCACCTCCAAAGTATTCAAGTCGATTAATTGTCATTTAATCGTGTCATTTAATGGATTTATAATATTTGTTTTTGCTAAGTACCATGGTAGTGATTCCATGTTGTGATGGAGTAAGGATGCTGTTTCAGCACTTTTTATCTTCAGGATGTCATAAGAGGCGCCTATGGGAGACAAAGACCCTATATCGAGTCCTTGGCTAGTATGGAAATAATAAGCTAATACGGGGGAAATGGGCGAAAACGGATTGTTAGTGATGAGATTTAACAGCCCCATTGCTAGCAATACACCCTATCAGGTCGACCTTCACGCGGTTCCCCCCGGAAACCATAGCGGTTAATTGTTGTTCAATTGGTTACTATGGGCCAATCGACCTGCCTTCATCCTCATTTGTCACCCTTCACTGGTACCCCGCCAGTGTATACCGATAGCGCAGGCAGGGTAACCATTCCGTCTTCATCAATTAAAAAAAAAATACGGGGGAAATGCCCGTAGAAAAGATAATGCCCATTAGACGTATATTTCTTACGCTATGCCCGTTCTCAGAAATAAGATATTAAAAGATTGTTATGGACTATTCAGACTCTAATAGAACCATTGAGGGATGGGGGATGGATTGTTAGCAATGGAGTTTGACTGCCCCATTGCTAGCAATATACCCTATTAGGTCGACCTCCACGTAACTCCCCCTGGAAACCATCGTGAACAATTCTTGTTGAATTCGTCACGGTGAGCTAACTGACCTGTTTCATCCTCACCTATCATCCCTCACTGGTGCCCCGCCGGTGTATACCGATAGCGCGGGTGGAGTTACCATTCCATGTATAAATTTTAAATATAGAAATGACGCCGAAAAATAAACGCCAACAGCGTCCATTAACGGTGGGCGAATCCGAAAGATTTTATTATTCGAATAATTCGTAATTACTAATTTTATAATTAAACTACTAAATTAGTTACCTGCTAATTTTCCTATTCGAATGTTTCTTACTAAATACTAATCAATTCAAAATAACGAAAACAAAGTGCTTTCTCTGTATCTTCTACTACCAAGTTTGTTCCTTGCATCCAATACTACTACATCATTACCATATAAAAAAAATTATATCTATATTCAGATATAAATCAAATTATTCAGTACAGATAAGCTTATTTACTAATCATTATACAGTTTTTATCTTATTCTTTCAAATACATTAATAAGAATTTTGTATCTTTTTTATTTTTTCAATATAATGTCAATATAATATTTCCCACATATTGGGTAATAAATGTATATTATGGTAACCCTAATCTTTTTTTTTCTTTTATACAACATAGAATGGCAAACAAGCTGACGGCCCACCTGATCGAAAGTGGTAACCGTCGCCTATAGACATGAGCAGTACCGTGGATATAACAGAGTATACCGTTTCGCCAATGATACCCCCCTTCGCTAATGATAAAAAAGTTGACCGGTTTTTAACGAAACATTTGTATGATGACACTGTCCTTATAATCCAAGTTTATTCAACTACAGGTAATTTGAAATAACCATTAATTTTAATATCAATAGGCACAGCGTAATGCATTAGTATTTCTTTTTCCGGATCAGATGAGTGACTTCGTCTCGATGGCGCCACTTTCTCTATGCCTCCATGTAAATAATCAACGTAGCTTCCAAACCTTCTATTGTCTTTGGTACGGTACGTTCTTAAATTCCTTTCGAAATCACTAACACTGCCACCTTCGGAACTGTTCATATCGTCGTGAAATGCAAAGTTCGTATCAGAGAAGTCGTATCGTCTTAAATTATTCATTAAAGTTTCAATCGCGCCTCTTCTCGTATTTTTCAACGAACGCCTCCTGTGCTCGTGTCCATCGATGTTGCTGTTATCGAATTGACGATTCTGCTCGTCGATTAGAGATGTCAAATCGAATCTGTCATTGCGGTCGTCGAATGTGACGTCCGCTCTCATGGCCGTGTTGGGCGCGTACTGACAAATCACTGACGTAATGATGGATGCCAAAATAATACATTTCCAAATCTGAAACTTTTTTTTTATTATTATATCAGCTGTTATCTGTCCACTGCTGAGCATAAGCCTCCCCCTATTGAGTAGGCAGGTTCCCCGCAGCTGCCACGTTTGACGGGCAGTTTTTTTTTATACAACTTAGAATGGTAAACAAGCTGACGGCCCACCTGATGGAAAGTGGTAACCGTCACCTATAGACATGAGCAGTAGCATGGATACAACAGAGTATACTGTTTCGCCCATGATACCCCCATGCATTGCCATTCCTGAGGACCCGGGTGTTATTCCTCTGTACCCTGTAAATTCACTGCCATATTATATATGCCATTCTTCATACCGAAACACAGCCATGCAAACACAACTGCTTCACGGTAGAAACACGAATAGGACAGAGGTACCCAAGCAATCGACTTTTGTACAAAGTCTCCCTCTGGTGCAGGGTTGGCAACTGCAGTTAGGCTTAAGTGATGTTTTAAGAAGGACGCTGCTGTCCATGCCTCGACCTTAAAAGGCGTTCCTTGGAAGGCGGACCCTGGTAAAAAAGATAGTAATCCTATTTATAACGCCAGATTAAAAGGCCGGCAGCGCACCTGCAGTGCCGCTGGTGTTGTGGGTGATCATGGGCGGCGGTAGTCAGTTACCATCAGGTGAGTCGCATGCTAGTTTGCCCCGTGTGTTGTAAAAAAAAATAACGCCAGATAGAATAAGAGGATATAATGACGAATTACAGTAAGTTAAACATAGAATAGGCTACCCCTTTCTTTCCCGTGGGTGTCGTAAGAAGCAACTAAGGGAGGGCGAGGGATAGGCAACAGCGTCCCTCTTAAAACATCTCCAAAGCCTAACTGCGGATGCCAATCCGCCTGCCAAGCATGGCAACTACTGGCAAATTAACCCAAGGGGGAGGCTTATGTCCATCAGTGGACAGTTAAACTGACGGAGTTATGAGCATAAGTACACATAATAAGCATAATATCACAAACATAAGCAAAATACAATCGATTTATGATTTATGAAGTCAACAATTTTTCGAATCACTTCATAAAAGGCGGAGTTATAAAGATACAAACATGAATTAAAACCAAATTGTGAACGTCCTCCTTTTTAGAAGTCGGTTGAAAAGTACTAACATTTTGAGATGCGACTTCTTACTAAAAATATCTGAACTATTTAAAGATATTGCGTGCAGTATTATGAACTTACCATTTCAAAGCAAATTCACTTCCTAATTATAATTGGAATAAAGTAAACAATAATGAGAAAATGCAATTCCACGCTTATTTAAAATTGTTCCTCACTGATTAATATTCAAATTCACGATTATAATGTAAGTTTGTCTTTATGTCACATTGATTATAAAAATAAAGTGTCTCCATAGAAATGCTTCCAGAAAAACAGGTCAAATTTTTCATACAATTTTGCGTGATAAATAGTTATTGATATTAGTGACTCCTTTATAACTTCTATATTTATTTGCTTATAAATTCTGCATATATTTAATGCGTAAGTACTCGTTTTATTTATTAATTAATACGTCAAGATACATTTAATGCCTAAATATATAAAATACTGATAGAAAAAACGAGTCAGCTAATTTTTACAATTAATAAACTATTAGCTATTAGCAAAAAGTTGACCCATTTTTGAGGCTCAATGCTCTATCTATATATTCTAAGGTAAAAAAAACAAGACATTTTTTTTTTTTTTTTTTATAAAACTTAGAATGGCAAACAAGCTGACGGCCCACCTGATGGAAAGTGGTAACCGTCGCCTATAGACATGAGCAGTACCATGGACATAACAGAGTATACTGTTTCGCCCATGATACCCCCCATGCGTTGCCATTCCTGAGGACTCAGGTGTTATTCCTCTGTACCCAGTAAATTCACGCCATATCCCACCCTTAAAAAACTTTGTAGTCGTATTCACGTAAAATTATTTCAAAACACAAGGTTTTTTGTAATTCTAAATCCATATAAATAAAATAAAGTGGGTTTAGTTACATCATTTATAACTCCAGAACGGTTGAACAGATTTTGATAATCAATTATTTGTTGTATTCCTTTCCGCCCCGAATAGCATAATAACTATTAAAATATCGGAAAGATTCACGTAAAATCAAATATTGAGAGATAAATCAAATATTAAGACCTACTAAATTCGCCAAGTCAGCTAGTATTAAAATATTTGATATAAATTTAATCTAAACCTAGAAACGAAACAGCTTCCGAACGCGCCCCGCAAATTCGCGGTTGGCGGGAAAAAAATGCAAATGGCGGCGCAACGTGACGTCACGTCCGCGCGCCAGATGCCCCGCGCGTGTGCTACACTGATGCTGTTTTAATTGCACGCGCGAATGTTTTATTGCGCTCACGAGATTTTCAACGAGATCCATACACGTATTATATTTAATGATGAGCAAGTAAATTGAATTATTGTTACGGAAGACAAGATTTCTAATATTTGGCAATTCCCAATAGATTAAAAAATTTGTAGAGTGAGTCAAACCTGACTCTAAAGTTAAATAGGTTTGCCCTATCTACACTAAAATATGTCACTTTTACTGGAGTAATTTAACAAATAAAGATATGGCTATTAAGATTTTTTTTATACAACTTAGAATGGCAAACAAGCTGACGGCCCACCTGATGGAAAGTGGTAACCGTCGCCTATAGATATGAGCAGTACCATGGACATAATGGATTATGGACAATATGGAGTATACTGTTTCGCCCTTGATACCCTCATGCGTTGCCATTCCTGAGGTCTCAGGTGTTATTCCTCTGTAGCCAGTAAATTCACGCCATATCCCACCCTTTAAACCGAAACACAGCCATGCAAACACAGCTGCTTCACGGTTGAAACACGAATGGGACAGAGGTACCCAAGCAATCGATGTATAAGATCTATGTTTGAATTAATAATCACAGATAGCTGTAAACCATTATTTACTAAACATATTATCCTCACTCTTCCGTCTTTATTATTTATACATAGGTATTTGAACTTTACCCTGTTTTTAAGCTTAAACTCAAATTACTAAAGGAGGGCGATGGATGAGCAGTAGCGTCCCACTTAAAACATCTTCACCGACCCGATTGCCAATCCACCTGCCAAGCGTGGCAACTACTAACAAAACCCCCTAAGGGGGAGGCTTACGTTCAGCAGTGGACAGTTAGAGACGATGATAATTGTTCTCTTCTAACAGTAATATTAAAAATATTTAGTTTGTATTTGATTTACACAAAACAATATCCTAAATTGATTTTGCAAGGCTCTTAAAACTGCCGCTGCCCTTGGTAGAATATTTTGCACGCTAATGTTAGCAAAACATGTTTTTTTAATGGGTGATAGTAGAATGGTACCCCGCCCGCGCTATCGGTATACACCGGCGGGGCACCAGTGAAGGAGGATAGGTGAGGATGAAGCAGATCGATTAGCCCATCGTGACGAATTCAACAAGAATTGTTCACGATGGTTTCCAGGGGGAACCACGTGGAGGTCGACCTGATACCTATATTGTTAGCAGAGAAGCTACTAATCTCCACTACTAACAATCCCTTCTCCCCCCGGTCCTGGTATTGAATGGGATACACTTTTTATTCCAGTGAGTATCGTAAGAGGTGGCTTAGGGAATTTAATGGAATAAATTTGGATGGACAGCTGTAGCCATCACTCAATTACATACTCTCGGTATTCGAGAGAGCAGAGGCCGCCAGCGCCGCCTCCCAGCTCGATTCCATGATTGTATACTCTAGATTAGCGAATGAGTTGTCTCTGCTTGTTAATTAGTCTGTACTGTCTGTAAGGTTATTTTTAAGAGTGTCCATGTTTTTTGTGTATTACAATAATTAATACGAGTTATATGTTTACCTCCAGTAAAAGTATATTCCCACAATAAAAAACGTTTTCTTTGGCCCGTAACCCCAAGAACTCACTAAAGTGGCAGCCCAACGCGAGGCCGAACATTTAATAATTAAAAGTGGTGCAAGTTGTGAACAAAAGTCTGTGAAAACCATTTGTTTGTTGCCGAGTGTTAGTGTACAGCCTAATCCATAATCATTAAGGCTAGAACATTCGACAAATGGACAGTCCTGGTTCAAAACTTTAATATTTTTACAAAAGATTTTGAGGTAAAGACATTCCATATAATAGTTACGTCGTATTTTATGGACATTTTTGGGACAGTATCAAGTATTTACAGTGTATCAAAGTAATTGTTGCATCAAATCAAAAAAGAAATTCAATATTGTAGTGTGTATAATTTTGTCATATTTCAATTTCCGTTTTTTATTCGAAATTCTTCTTGTCATACTGCTATAGACAATATAGAGTGAAGGAACGGACAATTTTGGATTGAATGTTGACAGTACAATATTGCCAACATTACGTCACAAATAGTGATGTACATGTGTCGATAAATGTAGTGAAGTACGAGTCGCTATCGAAAATCGATTTGATGATAAATAATTATTGTTGTGAACTTTAAAATGGTTCTTACACGTTCTAGAGCTAATAGTTTAGTGAGTGAGGACAGTTCACGGGTTTTGACTACAACTGTCAGTTCGGTGACATCGGCTAACCCGGCTGCGCCTGTCGCGAGTACGCAGTGCACGCGATCGCCTGTCATCTCAGGCACAGCTGATGACACACTTCAACACAGCGTGTTTCAGCCTGGCTCCGGCGAAATTGGTGGGGTGCACACTATGTCAAGATTGCCCCCGCCGGTCACTACAGTTGCACCTGCTGAACCTGGCGTGCATAGCGTGCCGCCGCCTCAGATTCATCACATCGTGCCTACAACAACGCCTGTTGCCACAATGCAGGCCACAGCTACTACGTGTCCGCAAGTACCTATTCAGTTACCATATGCTATGTCTCCTGGTTGGCATGTGCATCCTGCACATCGAGTCCCGCCGATCCCTACTGCTCCGACCACTTCAGCCGCATTTTATGGCATGCCTGCATGGTCTACCCAGACGCACACGAATGTTTCGCCATCTATGTATGCTCCGCCATATATACATCATGCTCCCATGCACTTCATTCCACCCGATGGATACTTACCTTCGCCGACGATGCCTGCACCTGTAAATAATATGAATAGTCATCAATCTTACCTCGATGGTGCATCGAACACTGCTGCTTCTGCTGCACCTACGCCTTTGGTAATCACTGATGGTCAGTTAGCTCAGATTGTGAGTGCGCTTAGAACGCAACCTGCTACTGTTGGAGGTAATTTTGCCAGGTGTACTGCACGTTTTGATGGAACGGGAGATATACAAGCTTTTGTGGATGCTATTCTTATATATAAAGAATGTGTTAGTATCTCAGATGAAATAGCGCTTCGTGGTATACCAATGCTTTTAACAGGTTTCGCAGCAACCTGGTGGCAAGGGATCAAGCACTCTGTGACGACCTGGAATGAAGCGATACAACTACTTCAAGGTACCTATGGTGTTCAGTTACCGCCACATAAGGTGTTTAGACGCCTGTTCGAACGAGAACAAGGAGACGAAGCTACTGATATTTTTGTAACTAAAGCGAGAGCGCTGATTAGTCAGCTGCCGCCAAATACGCTTTCAGAAGAAACTCAGCTGGACATGGTTTATGGTCTACTTAGTTGTCATATACGAGAGAAAGTACCTCGAACATCGTTTTCATCATTTGCCGAACTGCTTCAGAAAGCACGCATTGTTGAAGAACTGTATGCAGAAGGCCAGCGAACGCCTGTCACATCGACGATGTCAACACCCAGTAAATTAGCCTTCTCGACACCCGCTGCTGCATCTAAGGGTCCCGTTATGAAGAAATCCAGACCGAGATGCGGGTATTGTAAACAATTTGGTCATAAAACAGAAGGATGTCCGAAAGGACAGAGACAAAGAGGTAAGCAAGAGGGAAACACTAAGGAATATTCTCCACCTCCAACAATTACATGTTATGGCTGTGGTGCGCCAGGAGTGATCCGTTCAAATTGCCCCACGTGCAAGAAGCGGCCGACCATACCAGTAACGGCATCAACATCCTCCACTGCTTTCCAATCGGTTGCTGCCTTGGGAAATAAGGATATAGACCCACGAGCACGCCCGAAACTTGATGTTGAGATATATGGTGAATGTGGTACCGCTTTAATTGATACCGGTGCAAAACAATCTATTGCTAGTAAAAGTTTATATACATTTTTAAGAACTCGAAATCATGTGTTTAGTTTTGTAAATACTACTGTTAAATTAGCCGATGGCTCTAGTAAATTAATGAATGTTGCAACCACTAAGGTTGATGTAAAGGTTCAAGGTATAATTATACCAACTGTGTTTATAGTATTACCCGATGCTACAGACTCCTTATTAGGAATGAACTTTATACAGGAAGCTGGTATGATACTGAATTTTGAAGGCACTTGTATACGCTTAAATCTGATTCTAGGCACTTCAACCTTAGGTATGAAGCGATTGATCCAGTGGGTGAGATCGCAACAGCTTCAGCCATCGTTCTTCGTGACGAGGAAGGTGCGTTCCTCTCAGCTTCGGAACGGGAGTCATTTAACACTCTCCTGCATGACAATCGGGACATCTTCGAGCCAGGGGAGCCCCTACAACGTTCGCAGTCCACAGGATTGATACAGGTGAGCATGCTCCTGTAGCTGTACCGCCTTATCGTGTCTCGCCATGGAAGAAAGAAATTATGAGGAAGGAGATAGAACGTATGTTAGAAGAGGAAATCATAGAAGAAGCAGAGTCTGAATGGGGATCTCCGGTAGTGCTGATTCCAAAGAAGTCGCCTGGTGAGTGGCGGTTTGCTATAGACTATAGAAACGTAAACGCCATCACAAAAACAGATAAGTATCCATTGCCCGTCATTGATGACATCCTGTTTTCTACCAAGGCTGGTGCAGTCATGTCTACGATCGATTTAAAGTCGGGATACTGGCAGATCGAGGTCCACCCCGATGACAGAGACAAGACGTCTTTTGTCACGCCTTTCGGTGTGTTCCGTTTCCGCCGCATGCCGTTTGGGTTACGTAATGCGCCGGCAACCTTCCAAAGGATGATGGATCGTTTCAAGGCCGGACTAAAGGAGGTAACTATCGTTGTTTATCTTGATGATCTCCTTGTGATCTCCTCTGATCTGAAGTCGCACCTGCAGGACCTGCAACAGGTGATCGATCGACTGCGCGTTTTTAACTTACGAGCCAATCGAGGGAAATGTGTATTTGGTCGTGAGAAGGTAAAGTATTTAGGTCACCTTATCTCCGCGAAAGGGATAGAGCCGGATCCTTCCAAGGTGGATGCTATCGTAAATCGGGAACCGCCGGTGAATCTGAAGGAACTGAAAACCTTCTTGCAAACCTGTTCTTGGTTCCGAAAATTTATTCCGGAGTTCTCAAAGGTGAGTGAACCACTTACAATGTTAACACGAAAAAAACAATCTTGGCTGTGGGAGGAACCGCAGAAGAGGGCTTTTGAAGAACTAAAGTCTCGCCTGGCTTCTGCCCCGATTCTCCGCCAGCCCACTTTCGACGAGCCGTTCATTTTAAGGACTGATGCGAGTGCGTATGCCATAGGGGCCGTACTAATGCATGGACCTGACCCCAAATCCGAACGACCTATTGAGTACGCCAGCCGGTTACTCACCAGTGCTGAGCGTAATTATACCACTACGGAGCGGGAAGCTTTGGCCGTAGTATGGGCGTTAGAAAAGTTCCGAGGTTATTTGGAGGGAGCCCAGGTACGTATCGGCACTGATCATCAACCACTGAAGTGGTTGTTCTCTCTGAAAACACCCAGTGGACGTCTAGCTCGTTGGGCACTGAAGATACAAGGTTTCAATCTAGATGTTGAATATACTCCCGGCAGGATCAACGTGGTTGCTGATACTCTTAGTCGTCCTGCTGAGTCAACGAATCCTACGTGCGATGTATGTCCTGTTGTTTTAGACTTACCACATCGTGATCCAAAGACGCTCCGTGATGCACAGCTGGATGATCCTGACTGTAAGAAGATCATCCTGGCTTTCGAGGATGCTGATCCTACGCGCGCGACTCTCTGGACTAATAAAGGGTACTATATGACGCAAGGTGTCTTATACCGAGCTGACCCCGAAGGTGAGAGTGAGGAACCTTTGCTTGTCGTTCCTGTTACCATGCATGATGAGGTGATGAAGGAACTCCACGATGCGCCGACAGCTGGACATCCTGGAATCGAGCGCACGTACCTGAAACTGAAAGAAAGGTATTATTTCCCTAATATGAAACAACTAGTTACGCAATATGTCAAGGCTTGTGAGCTATGCCAGAAGTATAAGCCTACCAACTTGAAACGCGCAGGGTTACTACAAACCCCAACACCTCAGCAGCGTTTCGAAGTTTTGTCCATGGACCTGTTCGGACCCTTACCGGAAGGACCTAAAGGTGAGCGCTGGATATTTTTAATTGAGGACACAGCAAGTAGATGGGTGGAGATTTTTCCTCTCATAGATGCTACTGCTGAGTCATGCAGCAAGGTCTTGGTCGAAGAAGTGTTCCTACGTTATGGTTTGCCCCGTAGAGTTATCTCCGATAACGGCGTCCAGTTTGTCTCGAACGTGATGCAAAAGGTAATGCTTGCTTTTGATGTCCATCAGAACTTAACGCCCTTATATCACCCTGAAGCAAACCCTGCAGAACGCAAGAACCGAGAGATGAAATTGATGCTCTCTATTCTTCTTAGTGCTGATAGTGATCATCGGGACTGGCCAAGTAAGTTACCCTTGATAAGGGTTGCCCTCAATAACGCTCCAAACCAAGGTACTGGTAAATCCGCTGCTTACTTGACGTTCGCTCGAGAGATGCGTGCTCCTATACATCTTGCCGACGATATCCGTCAAGTTGTAAGTTCTAATAATTATGTAGAGCAGATTACACCCTACTTACGTCATTTCGTTAAGAATTTAGAGAAGGTAACTAGAAGAATCCGGAATGAGCAAGAGCGACGAAAACGATATGCTGATAAAGGTCGCCGTCCTGCTCCTGAACTTGCTGTTGGTGATAGAGTGCTGGTAGAAGCACATATCCCGAGCAACGCCTCTAAGGGTATTAGCCATAAGTTTGCGGCTAGACGAGAAGGACCCTTCGTTGTCAGTCAGAAGGTGAGTCCCACCACTTTCGAGGTTGTAGGAAAGGAAGGCGTTGTGAAAGGCAAGTATCATACTAGCGCCTTAACTCCTTATCATGGTTCGGATGCTACGTTGAGGCCCTTGAAGAAAAGAGGCCGACTCGCGGTTGCCAAGCCACCTCCGGGACGTACCGGTGACTTGGAGGGGGAGTCTGTAGCCATCACTCAATTACATACTCTCGGTATTCGAGAGAGCAGAGGCCGCCAGCGCCGCCTCCCAGCTCGATTCCATGATTGTATACTCTAGATTAGCGAATGAGTTGTCTCTGCTTGTTAATTAGTCTGTACTGTCTGTAAGGTTATTTTTAAGAGTGTCCATGTTTTTTGTGTATTACAATAATTAATACGAGTTATATGTTTACCTCCAGTAAAAGTATATTCCCACAATAAAAAACGTTTTCTTTGGCCCGTAACCCCAAGAACTCACTAAACAGCGGCATTATTCTAAAAAAAACACCAAAGCCTAACTGTGGTTGCCTATCCGTCTGCCAAACGTAGTAATCACTGGCAAAAGCCTCCAAGGAGGAGCCCTATGTCCAACAGTGGACAGCTAATATGATAAATATTCTAACCGTAGTATCACCATACATATACACAAACATTCTATATACCTATATATACAAAAATTTTCAACTGTTTCTTAAAAATAGCGATATCAATAATCTTAGTACCAGTACTAGTATAGTATTATATTATCTGTGGTACTAGATGCAAATATGAATTTGAATATAAATCCCAAAGTATCATTTAAAAAAAAAAAAGTTAATAAGCTTTTTATGGGAATGGGCACTAAATGTTATAATAAGATACCGAAGGATATTTTGGACCTACATTGTTATATTTAAATATATTATTAAGAAACATTTATTAAACACACTAAAGGCTTAGTTGAATGACAAATGTGCATGGTTTTAATCGATCGTGCACAGGTTTTGTAATGACCATGTAATTTTAGACATAGCACATTTAAATAAATGCACATAATGTAAATAGAGATTTAAAAGAGTAATTGTTGAGTTTTACACTTTTTTTTTAACAGATGACAATATTCCAAACACAACAGTAGATTTATAAAAAATATAGATTTATAAAAATGCTTCTCAACAAATCTGTAGAAAAAATACAATTTCAGCCTTATTATACGCTTATTTACTAAACATGTATATTAACAATTTAAAGTTAAGCGCCCATCCCTAAGATAGCCACAGAGTACATTACTACATACTTTTTTATTGGAAAATTATGACGATTCTGAGGCATCAATTTGAGAAATCAATATCATATAAACCACCACAAACTAAAATTATAATAACTTTAATTTAAACATATTATAAAATTAATTCATATTAGTATTGACAATAAAGACTTCGAATCGACATCAAATTGAAATTTTAATTAAAGAAACTGCGCCTCAGAATCGACCCTGTCAATGACAGATAGGTAATTTAAAATTTGGCAGTATTGCATATCTGTCAACTTTACTAATATCTAAGTTTATTTATAAAAGGTCTTTGTTATAAATTCAAATTCTTTAAAGTTTTTTTTTTTTTGTTTTTATAGAATTGGGATAAACACGGTCTTTTTGTAATGCCCTAAATTTCTTTTTAAAAAAAACAACAGCTGTACATAATGGCTAACGACACACCCGAAAGTGATTTTTCTATAGAATGCTTTCAAAATTACTCGGCCCCTGAAGTGTTTGTGCAAGGCCTAGCTGGAATGGTAGACCAGTCTGACGTGGAAACAGTTATTAGGGCCCAAAAAAATATGTGAGTAATTGTTCAACCTGTTCTTGTTTATTTAAGACTACCTACTGACTAAGAGACCAGAAAATCTTTATAACTCATCTGTATAGATTCTACCTACTGATCAGGCTACAAAGAGATTTAGGACAAGTCATCTGCACGGGCGCTTTTGTCTTAGTCTTATTTCGTTCACCAAATATCTGTGCTGACATGGCTGTGTTTGAATAGTGGATAAGACAGTGAAATTATTAGGTATGGTAACATAACACTTTCGGGGGGAAGGGATTGTTAGTAATGGAGACTGAGAACCCATTGCTAGCAATATACCCAACCAAATCAGCCTCCTCACGGTTCTCCCTGGAAACTATCATGGTTAATTCCTGATGAATTCATCATGATGGGCTAACTGGCCTGTTTTCATTCTCATCTATCACCCTTCACAGGTACTCTGCAAGTGTATACCGTTAGCACAGGCGGGGTTACCATACCATTTTCACCAATCAAAAAATAAAAAAAAAAAACACTTTCGTCCACAAGAATGACAACAAATGAGGTGTTTCATAATGACCTCAATGTTCTTTATGATGTCTGAGGTGCTGTACAAATCTATAGACAGCACTTTATCATCAAATGACAGCTTATTTATTAATAATTATTATTGTTTTTTGCTAAAAATGGTATTAGTGAACTAAAATAATAATGCGAAAGAGTTATTTATTTATAAAGATGACCACAGCTAATAAAATTTATATTAATTAATCTAATCGTATCAGGTTGCAGAGATTTGAAAAAACAACAGAGATGTTAACAAACTGCAATCAGCTATCTGCCAGCCGACTCCGTGCTGCATCTGTAGAGTTCAAGAAACACACGCAACTACTCCTCGAGATGAGGAAAGACCTGGAGTTTATATTTAAAAAGATACGAGCCATCAAAACTAAGCTCAGGTATGAAATAGTATTCCCTTTTTATACCAACTTCAAAAAGAAAGATATTCTCAACTTTATTGTAATGTTTTTATGTTTGTTACCTCACAACTCTGTCAGTTGGAAACCAATTTGAAAAATTGAGCTATCTGAGCTATGAATATCTGAAAGGATAAAAACTGAAGGTAAATTAGATAGGTCCCATAAAAATTTTATCAAAATTAATTCAATAGTTCACTTTTTAGATTGAAATAACTAATTTTTTTCACAATTGTAATTTTTTTTAATTATGCTGTAGTTTTGTAATGCAACAGTCATTAGTCATTTATTCAAAAAGCAATGTACATTGTGTCTGATATTAAGTATGATCATATAAAAAAGCATTAAATTTAATTTAATATTACAAGTATTGAATAACAATAATATATATATATATATATATATATATATATATATATTAAAAGGCGAATGTGTATGAAAAGATTGATGACTGTGGAAGAAGCGAACGAGGTTTGTTTGACTCGACGCATTTGGCGTTCCATTGTTTCTGTCTACCCTAATGGGAGACAGGCGTGACAGATATGTATGTATGTATATATATATATGTATATATGTATATATATATATATATATATATATATATATATATATATATATGTATATATATATATATATGTATGTATATATATATATGTATGTATGTATATATATATATATATATATATATATATATATATATATATATATATATATATATACATATATGTCAAATTTATTTTTTAATTCTAGTATTTACATTAATCACCAGTACAAAAGTCATTAACGGAGTAATAGCATTTTTTCAATAAATGGGATCATAGTTTAATTTTAAAAGAATGGCTAAATAGGCATAAAACTTTATATAATGTAAGACCACTGATACCTACCCTGTTTAATGCAAATAAATTTATATAATTTTTATAGTTAATAGTTATTAACCAATAAAGTTTCCACTATTAACTATTACATACAGAACAAACAAAGTTTGAAATTATCACTTAACAGTGTTCTCTTACAGGCAACCATATCTTTCGTCCTCACTTGTCATCCCTCACCGATTCGTGTGAATTTACTAGGTACAGAGGAATAACACCTGAGTCCTCAGGAATGGCAACGCATGGGGGTTATCATGGGCGAAGCAGTATACTCTGTTATGTCCATGGTACTGCTCATGTCTATAGGCGACGGTTACCACTTTGGATCAGGTGGCCCGTCAGCTTGTTTGCCATTCTAAGTTGTATAAAAAAAAAATTCTCTGTCAACGTATAATCCTATTACCTCTCATTAATTAACAAAATAGCAAACTCCAATAAGTTAAACATCATAACTTTGTTCAAAAGTATCCAGTCCAATATTCACCCAATATGTTCATCTTGGGGGAAAGGGATTGTTAATAACGGAGACTGAGAATCCTATTACTAACAATATACCCAACCAGGTCGACCTCCTCGCGGTTCTCCATGGAAACTATCATGGTTAATTCCTGATGAATTCATCATGATGGGCTAACTGGCCTGTTTTCATTCTCATCTATCACTCTTCACTGGTGCTCCGCCAGCGTATCCCGTTAGCGCAGGCTATGGGGGTTACCATACCATTTTCACCCAAAAAAAAAATGTTCATCCAATCTTTATTTTAATATTGCTATCATCAATTTCCAGCACTCAATATCCTGAGGCGTACAAAATAGCCGTAGCTGCATCGACTGCTAGTAAGAAACCTATTGATGAAGAAGAGGAATTGAAAACTGCCACCACCAAAACGGAGTCAAAAATGGTGGCAACTGTCTCCACAGAAACTTTAAAACCTACCACAAGTGATGACAGAAAGAAGAAAAAGGATTCTAAATTGCAGAGTGATGAAACTAATAATAATACTGGTGACACTATCAGTACAGAGGATAAAAAGGAAACCGGGAAGAAGGTGAAGAGGAACAGTAGCTCTTCAGAGACGGAGAGTGCCAGTTCTAGTGATGACAGCAGCACAGATACGGGTTGAAATTGTTAAAAATATAGTCAATAGTTTTCTTGGAACTGTTTGAGTGCCCAGAAGGGTACAAAAGGCGCTTTGCTTTATGTGAGTTATAATATATTAAATTTCCATTCCCGCTGTATTTAATGTGGACATTGAAAATGTAATATTAACAGATTTGTAGGTACAGTTTGACCAGTGGGTTATTTGGAAATGAATATTATATTAGGATTCCTTTAAAAGGATGGGAAAGGACATAGTTGGTTTTCATCCTAGTTTAGCACTTTATCCATATATAAAATCATGGGTAAAATATAACATAGTATAATAATTTACTAATATATAAAACTGTTGATACCAGAGGGAGACTTTGTACAAAAGTCCATTGTTTGGGTACCTGTTCCATTCGTGTTTCTACCGTGAAGCAGTTGTGTTTGCATGGCTGTGTTTCAGTTTGAAGGGTGGGATATGGCGTGAATTTACAATGTACAGAGGTATAACACCTCAGTCCTCAGGAATGGCAACGCATGGGGGTATCATGGGTGAAACAGTATACTCTGTTATGTCCATGGTACTGCTCATGTCTATAGGCGACGGTTACCACTTTCCATCAGGTGGGCCGTCAGCTTGTTTGCCATTCTAAGTTGTATAAAAAAATACAAATAAAATTATAATGGGATTTTGAAGTGTGTCTAAATCCACACCAATACTATGCCAGGGTCAGCGCTTTTACCTGCAAAGCTTTCTCCATTAATATATACAAAAACTACACACATTTACTGTCTGTATGTATGAATATTTGTCATGATTGTGACATGTACAATATAGTATAAAAATACTATAATATAAATACTAAATTCCATCTATGAATATAAATTTTTAGATTTAAAAACATATGTAACTATGTATATTAATTATTGTTAAAAAGAAGTGTCACTTGTATTTATGATTGTAAATAAATCAGTATTTAAAATTTGTTAGTATTTTTTTTAATGACATAATTTTTTTTTTTTTTTCTAGTAAATGCAGTTATAATCCAAAGGTTGTCTGGAAGAGTTTGCTCTTAGTGATAAGGCGCCGCCCATTGTTTTCTCAGCGTAATCTTGTAATTGTTTGTATTTATAATAAGTATTCTATAGTACTTTTTTTTAATGGTTGAAGATGGAATGGTAACCCCGTCTGTACTAACAGTATACGCTTTCGGGGCACCAGTGAGAGATGATAGGTGAGGATAAAAAGACAGGTCAGTTAACTCATCATGATGAATACACTTGGAATTCCCCCTCCCCTATTGTAATGTACTATGGTACGGTCCTGGTATAGATTGGACCGCTCCTTTCTTGTAAGTGTCGTAAGAAGCAACTAAGGAAGGGGAGATGGGCAGCAGTGTTCCTCTTAAAATATTTCCAAAGTCTGTGGATGCCAATCTGCCTGCCAAGTGCAGTAACTACTGGTGAAATACCCATAGGGGAAGGCTTATATTCAGCAATGGACAGCTGCACCAAACGTCAAAATATCACTTTTGAATGTTTGATCCCGCCACCGTACTCGTCGTTGTGGCGCTGCAGTCGCAATCGAGTTTTACAGAATGCCATGATATAATTTCACTCCGGATTCAGCTATCGAGTTTCGAAATGATGCTTACCGAATAACACTACAGTTAAAGGCTGCTATGATACTAGTGTAATCTTTTGAAGAAAACAATAGTGTTCATCTATCTATGTATCCTATAATTATATTTAATAGATGTAGTTTTTTTTATCACCAAAATTCAAATTAATATTCTTTGTAATAGTTGAAATACTAGACTTATTATATTAATTAAAATTTAAAAATATTGCTTTAATAAAAGTAAAAATCTAGTTCCAAATTGGCTTCACTTTATTAACACAATCTCTTCAATATATAAAATAAAATATTTATTGTCTATTACTAAAATTGTAAATATTGTACAGGTCTTCTCAAGAGACTACAGCATTGGGTTCTTCAAAAGGGGGGTAAAGAGGTTTCTTCAGGGACGGCAACGCGCGTGTAATACCTCTGGTATTGCAGGTGTTCATAGGCTACGGTAACCGCTTACCATCAGGTGGGCCGTATGCTTGTTTGCCACCTCAGTGGTATAAAAAATAATATGAAAGTGAGCTTATTTTTACTAGAAAATTACATTGAATTGTTTTAAGGTGGAGGTGCCACAGCTTAATCAATTGTCACAATATTTGATATATACATAATATGTGAGATTGAAGATATTCACTATTTATTGAATCCTACCAGAGGGAGACTTTGTACAAAAGTCGATTGCTTGGGTACCTCTGTCCCATTCGGGTTTCAACCGTGAAGCAGTTGAGTTTGCATGGCTGTGTTTTGGTTTGAAGGGTGGGATATGGCGTGAATTTACTGGGTACAGAGGAATAACAACTGATTCCTCAGGAATGGCAACGCATGGGGGGTATCATGGGCGAAACAGTATACTCTGTTATGTCCACGCTATTGCTCATGTCTATAGGCGACGGTTACCACTTTCCATCAGGTGGGCCGTCAGCTTGTTTGCCAGTTGTATAAAAAAAATCTGAATAATTTATAAGAAATTAGAGGGTTTTTTTTTATACCACAAAGATGGCTAACAAGCATACAGTCCATCTGATAATATGAAATAAAATTAAATTTATTTGCCAGAAACATTGTAGATAAGGTGTTGCATTTGTCAAGTTTACAAGATGTCCATTATGTTTTGCCACGTCAAATGGCATACAAACAGTCACTGTAGCCTATGGACGCCTGCAACACTAGGGGTGTCACGTGTAAAAGTAAAGATTAATGATAAATAAACATGAAATTGTTTCACATAAGTCTTTAATCATCATCATCTTCCTACCCTTATCCCAATCATTTGGGGTCGGCGTAATATGATTTTATCCATATTACAAAAAGATTTGGTTTTTAGTTTTACAACCGGCCACCTGCCTGACGTCAACCCTCTTTGGGATAATAACATAAGTCTCATATAAGTCTTTAATATAATATCAAATTTTACTCATCCATTTATACAATTACACTTAACAATAACAGAAGTACTTTATATTTTATCAGCATATTTTTCAGTGTATTTCCTGGCATTTTCCAAATATTGCTCAATATTAAACTTATATATGTTGGCTATGTCTAACATGAGTGGATCATCAGGATTTGGATTTACAAGCAGGGTCTGGAGAGATATGAGCAAAGTTTCCAATGTGATTGTTGGTAACCAGGCGCCTTTCGGTGGCATTTTTAACATATCCATACATATTCGGCCACCTGGAAATATAGTAAAACATGTATATATATAAATTAAATATAGATATTTTTTTTAAATATTCAAATATCTTTTAAAAAAAATACAACAAAAGAGTTTGCAATAATCACTACAATACTTTTTTTTTTTTTTATAAAACTTAGAATGGCAAACAAGCTGACAGCCCACCTGATGGAAAGTGGTAACCATCGCCTATAGACATGAGCAGTACCATGGACATAACAGAGTATACTGTTTCGCCCATGATACCCCCCATGCGTTGCCATTCCTGAGGACTCAGGTGTTATTCCTCTGTACCCAGTAAATTCACGCCATATCCCACCCTTCAAACCGAAACACAACCATGCAAACACAACTGCTTCACGGTTGAAACACGAATGGAACAGAGGTACCCAAGCAATCGACTTTTGTACAAAGTCTCCCTCTGGTAATACTATCTCTATTATACTTAGAATGTAAACAAAGTGATGATTCTTAATGCAAAGTGGTAACCAAATGGTGAAAATGGCAGTCAGGGATTAATGGTTAATATAAAAGGTTGTGGAACTTCTGGTAGTAATAGTGGTAGTCAATCTTTCGAGTGTTGGCAGTCGCTCACATACTAAAAGTAACGGAATTAATTACTAATGTAAGTGGTACCAATTCCTTTGTAAAAAAAAATTTGGGTTTTTTAATAGTGCCCCTATCCATACACCTCGATTCCAACAACCGACCCTATGGGTATGCACTGACCGACTACTTTTATAAAATATCTCACCTTTGTCAATATTTGGATGATAAATAGGTGTATCGAACTTCAAAAGCGGCGGTTCAAACGGATAATTATCGGGAATTGTTATGATGAGTTGGAATTTTCCGTTCTCGTAAGGAGAGCCCTTAGGCCCGAGTAAAGTGACTTTGAGCACATCTAAATTATCTTCCGTCTTTGGCACGCAAGTAATTCCCCAAGGCGAATTAGTTTCAAAGTTTTTCATTTCTTGGGCGAGGCGGGCCGCCCGCGGTGCTGAAGTCATTTCTCAATACTATTACTTAAAAATAATCAGTAATAAGGGAGATTTAGCTTAAATATCGAGTTTTGGAAATAGTATTCAAAACTTGTAAGCTTGTTAAAACTTGAAAACAAAGTTATTAAGAAATAATAACAATACCAAAGAGTACATAAGCAAAACACAACATATGTTCCTTTCCTCTTAAATTATATCACAAAGTCAAACATCAAACAATAATATCTTCTAAAAAAATCTCTATAAAATAATTAAGTAGTATAACAATATAACTTTCGTTATTACAATGAGTAATATAATGTATATTCATTCGTAATATTATTTATTATCCTATAATTATAGATTACTTGTATGAAATAATATTATATAAATTAAAAACGGAATACATTTGCTGTTACATCTTTTAATTCACTCGTTTTGAACAGAAGATCAGACTGTATGGCTTAATTCTTTTGCCTTTCCCATTGTAGATAAATGATACATATACTATTTGACATTTAATTGACATTTACTGATACGTAGATAAGTCAAAAATAATAGAGTATTCCTTTATTGGATTGTATTTATTTTTATTTATTATATTTTTGTTCTTTTGATTTAAAAATCAATAGAGAAATAACAGTATTATTACATGAGACCCTAAATTTTTAATTATTGGATCACGTCGTGAATAATGACTCAATTTTCAATATTTATTTCTCTAACAGGAAAACATTGCTTTTATTTAATTTTTCCTTAAATGTATTTTTTAGCTTTAATTTTCATTAAATTTCAATAGTGGTATAATTTTTTTGTGCCTTTGTGACTGTGATATTGTCTAAACTAATCTAATAATGTATAAAGACGTAGAATTAAGAAAATTGCCAGCAGGATATTTGTGTCGTATTGCTGATATATTGGAGACAAACAACGATTGGAGAAAGGTCATGTCCCAAATACCCAAAGACCCGCTATCCAAAACCTCCGAGCCCAAATACAACAATGAACACATGAGGTATGAAACATTAATTTATTTTTTGTTTATGATCCTTGGACTGCAATATTGAAGTTTTTAATTATAATTCCTAATGACTGATACACATTTGTTTTGTTGAGGAAGTGATTGTTAGTAATGGGAGCGTTAGTCCCCATTGCTAGCAATATTTTCTGTTAGATTGACCTCCATACAGACCCTCTTGATAATGGTGTGTGGTTATTTCCAATGTAATTTACATTCTCATCACTTCATCCTTTACTGGTGTTGTATACAAAGACACCTGTACTGTTTTATCTTCATCCAATGGAAAAAAAAGAGAATTTATTTCTGTAATAAACATGTATTTAATTGTTAAAATGGTGAAATATTATAAGCATTAATATATTTTAATCATTACACTTAAACATCTGAATGAATTTTAATAATATTTGATATAAAGATAGATATCATTTGTGAGATTAGACACGTAATACTTTTTTTAATTTATTTCAACTGGACACATCGGAGGGACTTTCTTTTCTTAAAAATGGGTATGTTAAATATTAATTTCTTTGCAGATTAATTGAGGAACACGCAAAACAAACAAACAGAAAATGTGCTGAAATATTATTTGATGAATGGGGCACATCTGGTCGGGTGAGGCCCACTCTGAACACACTTTATAATATTATATTGAAAGCTGAAATTTTTAGAGCAGCAGATGAAATTGCTGGGATCATGAAAGGTATATTTTTAGATTTTCAAGACCACACTACCTTCTCCCATATGTTGTATTGCCATTAACTGCAAAAACGTTTCAAAATATATAATTTTTTTTATACCACAAAAGTAGCAAACAAGCATACAGCCTGTCTGATGGTAAATGGTCATTATTACCTATTAGACTACCTGTGGTACCTGTAACACTAGGGGTGTGGGGGAAAGGGATTGTTAGTAATGGAGACTGAGAATCCCATTGCTAGCAATATACCCAACCAGGTCGACCTCCTCGCGGTTCTCTCTGGAAACTATCATGGTTAATTCCTGATGAATTCATCATGATGGGCTAACTGGCCTGTTTTTATTCTCATCTATCACCCTTCACTGGTGCTAAGCACAAGGTGCTAAAAAAAAGCACTAGGGGTGTCATATCCATCTTGCCGAGCCTGAAGAAGCATTAATATACTCTTCTTGAATAACCTCATACTGTAGTCTCTAGGGAAAACTTCCGCAGGAAGTTTATTCCATAGCCTGAGCATTCAATGGAGAAAATTTATGAAATTATGTAATCATTTAGGTTCCAGTTTGTGAGGATGAATTCCCATTAAAATTGAGACATATTTGAATTGAATCATATTTGTGGATGGACCTTTAGTAAATAAAAAAAATATTATAAATAGTTTTGATTTTTCTTTACAGAGTCACCACCAGCTAGACCTACCGATGGACCAGCAGCAGTAGTAGACACAGATATAACACTACTTCTCAATGATATAAGCTTAGAATACCCTAACGGTGACCAGCACAAACCCAACGGAGTCAACAACAACGACAGTACCGCACAAGTGATGTCTAGTTCAAATATTCCCATAGTTATTGAAACATTAGGCAACAAGACCACGGCGCAGGTCAAATCTGCTTCAGATCTAATCAGATTTTCACAACAATCAATGAATATTCCAGACTTCAATGCCCTTATGCCGTCGTCTCAAAGGTCCAGTCAAAACTGTTACAGTAATTCCCAAATTTCCACAGCAAACAGTGCTGTCCCTGTTTTAGACTACTCACCTCCATTCCCAGCGGTGGACATCAGTAAAATCGACACAACTATCCTAAAGAACACAAGCTTAACACATTTCGAGTACAAAGTTTTAGAATCCATTACTAATAGATTTTCCAATGACCTCGAAAAGACCTCCAGGGGTCCTATTGGTAAAATAGGAAGTGGTGGCTTCGGAGACGTATACGCTGGGTACCATAAGAAGATTAATAAATTTCTTGCGGTCAAAAGGTTCCGTGTTAATCTCATGTTGGAAAATAACCCTAATGTTGCGATCAAAATTTTCAACTCTGAAGTAAAGGCGTTGGCACAATTGAGACATCATAATATCGTGCCAATAATTGGGTACTCCGCTGATGGACCGGCGCTCTGCGTCGTATGCGAGTACATTGATGGTGGGTCGTTGGAAAGCAACCTAGCTGAAAAGAAACTAAATGAAAAACACAGATTCCTAGTGATGTCCGGAACGGCCGATGGATTGAAGTACATACACCGGTGCGTGAAGCCACCAACTGAGGATGAAATCTATGAGGAGTCTGCTTCAGGTTCGAAGAAGAACTTCTTGCATGGAGATGTGAAGAGTGCGAATATTCTGTTGACACTGGAATACGTGCCAAAGGTAAGGGTTTTTTCTTTTTATATCGTAATCAGTGTCATATAATCCCCATCAGCTGTGGCTGTCCACTGCTGAACATAAGCCTCCCCCATAAAGGGGTTTTGCCAGTGGTCACCATGTTTTTTTATTATAGGTGATAATGGAATAGTAACCCCACCCGCGCTATAGGTATACACCGGCGGGGTACCAGTGAAGGATGATAGATGAGGATGAAACAGGTCAGTTAACCCATCGTGACGAATTCAACGAGAATTGTTCACGATGGTTTCCAGGGGGAACCACGTGGATGTCGACCTGATATTGCTAGCAATGGGGCTGTCAAGTTCCATTGCTAACAATCCCTTCTCCCCATGGTTACCATGTTTGACAGGCAGGGTGACCACCGCAGTTAGGCTTTAGTAATATTTTAAGAGGGATGCAACTGCCTATATTTCGCCCATCCTTTAGTTACCTCTTATATAATGTATTTCTTGTCTCATGTCATAATGAGGGACTTGAATTATGTATTTTTCTATTATTATTGGATATTAACTATGCTCACCAGAGCTTGGTCTACATAGGAACTAGTCAACAAAATCTCTTCACTGCCCTTTAACGTTTTCATTAATCATAAAAGGTAGCAAATATTCGTTTTTGCCCCATGGCAAAACAGCTATATTCTGTTTCAGTAGAATTTAATAAAAATATAAAGAAATGAATGATATAGTCTGTATATTGGATGTTAATCCAATAGTAATTTTATCTTATTCTATTTAAGAGCTGCGCTCTTGTCGGTGGATCTCTTGCCACTCACTACGATTTTCAGCGAGTCTCTTCACCTCTTGATACGACACGACACCTACACCTTCCTTGATCTGCCTGATGTAACTATGTCTCGGTCTCCCTCTCCCCCTCTTTCCTTCTATCTTACCTTCTATTATAATGTTCATAAGTACGTCGTGCCTTATCAAGTGTCCCAAAATTTTTCCCCTTCTGACCTCAATAGTTCTAATAATTTGTCTTTTTTCCTTAACCCTAAGCAGGACCTCCTCATTGCTAATTCGATCCCTCCAGCTAATTTTCTCCATCATTCTCCAGCACCAATAGATAGTAGTATAAGTAAAAAATCAATTCATTACACATCCTAAAGGTTGACTGGTAGAGAATGTCTATAGCATTACGTTCACCATTTATACCACGTTTTATTGGTCAATAAAGTTTAAATAAATAATTGATTTAATGTTTCGATTCATTACTAATTTAATTTGAAGAATGCTTCTATTACATTCTGTAAAAATAGACTTTAGATTAAGCTGCATTGTCCTACACTAATCTTTAACCTTCAAATACAAACACAGTTATGCCTAAATTACCCAAAAATAATGCCTACTCAGACAGGTCACACAAAACTCCCGCCAGCAGCATGTTAAATAAATTATAAGTAAATTTATTGCTTGAAACTTGCGCCTAATGATACTTTGATCGCTAACGGACATGGAACCATTCTCATGCAAATTACACCTTGAACTTCGATGTTGTTTTTTACATCTACAATAAAATATATCTACTTACTTATTTATCGGCCGTTAACTGTCCACTGCCGAGCATAAGCTTCCCCCTTGGGGGTTTTGCCAATAGTTGCCACTCTTGGCAAGCGGGTTAGCAACCACAATTAGACTTTTAGGGATGTCTTAAGAAGGACTCTGCTGCCATCGATCATTCAATTGCTAAATAGTCACCTCTTTTGTTTATGGATGCTAATGGGATGGTAACCCTGCCTGCGCTAACGGTATACGTGGGCGGGGCACCAGTGAGGGATGATTGGTGAGGTGGAAAGGTAGGTCAGTTAGCCCATCGTGATGAATACACTTGGAAATCAGCACGATTGTTTCCAGGGGGACCACGGGGAGTTCGACCTGTTAGAGTATTTTGTTAGCAATGGGGCTGGTAATCCGTGTCTCATCTGGTAATCACAGGAAAGGAAAGGGTGGCCCATTCTATGCCGGGTCTACCTAGCAATACCCACCTTATGAGGGAAGCTATGTTCAACAGTGGACAATTGGGGAGAAAGGGATCGTTAGTGATAGAGACAGAATCGCATTGCTAGCAATATACCCACCAGGTCAACCTCCTCGCGGTTCCCCCTGGAAACTATCATGGTTAATTCTGGTGGTTAAGGCTAACTGGCCTGTTTTCATCCTCATCTATCACCCTTCACTGACGCTCCGCCAGCGTATCCCGTTAGCACGGGCGGGGTTACCATACCATTTTCACCCATAAAAAAAAACTGGACAATTAACGGCTGATACAGAAAACTAAATATTCATAATTTTTCAGCTTTGCGATTTTGGCCTGGCAAAACATATCGACTCCACCTTCATTACAACATCTCTCATGGGCACTTCTGCGTACATGGCGCCGGAGGGCTTCAGTGGTACAGTCACACAGAAGACTGACATATACAGTTACGGTATTGTCCTTCTAGAGTTACTCACTGGACTACGACCGATCGTTGTTGATGACAATGAGAAAATCAATATAAAGAATTACGTAGAAGAGAATTGCATCGATGGGAGGATCACCAAGCTTCTAGATCCTGCTGTTCACGACTGGCAGCAGGCCGAACCGATATATGAACTTGCCAAGAAGTGCCTGAGCCCTCAGAGGAATGATCGGCCCTCGATAGAACAAGTCTGTGATACATTGTATCAGATAAATATGAATTATTGAAATTAATATTGTTATAATTAGTGATTTGTATGATCCCATTCAAATGTTAATGAACAACCCTTGATGTTGGGTCTTAAAGGTCTTGATTTCTTATTAGGAAGTCACCAAAATTTTGTATTAAGATTTTCGGTAATGAAATATATTGGTAATAAATTTAATCCATCCGAAAAATTATGGTAGTTTTTTTTTTAACGGATTATAATGGAATAGGAACTCCGCCTGCGCTAAAAATGAGGATGAAAAGGCAAGTCAGTTAACCCATCATGATGAATTCAACGATAAATTAGTCACGATGGGGTCACCAGGGGGTCGACCTGATAGGGTATATTGCTAGCAATGGGGTTGCTAATGTCCCTTACTACAATCTCTGAGTTCGCACCTGTACTGAGCAATACAGGTGCGAACCGGCGGTGCCGATAGTAGTCGACAAGCACGCAATCGCATGCGACGTTGGGGTGCATACAAAGAACAACGGCTAAGAGTTGCAGGATTGTCTATTCCGTCGTTGAGCAACCGATAATAGTGCATCATCAAATTGCACTTTCGCCTTACGTCGAGCGTTTCTAGGCCTACCATACAGGATACGAACAATGATGGGTACAAATGTTCAGCATTGGTTGGATAATGGCTGAGATGTTGATGATGAAGTGCTAATAACGTAGCTATCTGTAGATGAGAGAATTTTTAAAATTATTTGAGCAATTTTTGAGTTTACCCATTACAAACCAACAATAAATTCTTATAACGCCATCAGGCATTAAGTCCGTCCTGTAAACATATTTTTCTCAAACATGCTTGCGAATGTGAGCATTATTTTGACTATCTTCTTCGAGATAAATCAAATTTGCTGTACTGGCCAGATACATGCGGGCAGCGGCCGGCAAAAGTTGTATGAAAATCCATATCTGTCGTGTTTTGCGGCCAGATAAATTACTATGTAAACTCATATCTGTCCTGTAATTTTAAAATGGAATGACCTTTTACTTCGAAACATGGCTACCAAGGAGGTATATAATAAAAGATTTTAATTAAATTTCGAACTGGCTTGCAAATAGAAAGCTGTTTATTGAAAAAAAAAAAACAAAGAAACATTATGGCGCGAGAAAAATTATTATTGTTTATTATTCGTCATTGAACTTAAAAACTAAAATTGTGTTTATGATTTCCGTGCATTGATTGAGAAAAATACTATACAAGCCTTGGCCACAACTAGGCATTGATGGAATTACGTACTCGTATGTGTGCCTCGGCTACACCTCGGCCCAAATTTGCACGTTCGTCCATCAATGCCTCAGTTGCTGGCCGCTGCAGTAATGTACTATATTTTTTAACAAAATACAATAATTACAATTATATTACAATTCACATTAATACTATATTCAAATCCATGCAGTTTTGTCATTTAGATAGTAATTTATTTTATAATATGCTTTTCTAATATAATATATTCTGTAATATATATTTTTGACATAGTATAAAAAAATACTAAATAGTTTTCACTGTAAAGCAGGGTACTATATTGAATATACTATGGCATATTCATGTTTTTAATTTTTTTCTATTGTTCTATAAAAAAAATATATGCCGTTAAATAATATAATGCTTTTGACGTACATTTTATTAATACTTATGTATAATATATTTATTTTTTAAACATTGCTATGTACAATTGTGTTAATGTTATAACGATTCTTTATAGTATATTTTTATTGTGATAATTGTAATATTCGATCGAATTAGCAATGAGGAGGTCCTGTTTAGGGTTAAGGAAAAAAGACAAATTATTAGAACTATTGAGGACAGAAAAGGAAGAATGTTGAGACACTTGATATGACACGACGAACTTATGAACATTATAATAGAAGGTAAGATAGAAGGAAGGAGGTGGAGAGGGAGACCGAGGCATAGTTACATCAGGCAGATCAAGGAAGGAGTTGGTGTCGTGTCGTATCAAGAGGTGAAGAGACTTGCTGAAAATTTTAGTGAGTGGCAAGAGCTCCACCGACAAGAGCGCAGCTCTTAAATAGGATAGATAGAATTGTAATAATATTTTTATAAAGTATAGATTAAGTTGTTAAATAAAAAATTGTAAACGAATTTTTTGTGTATTATGTAGTTACCCAGCTGACCTATTATTACAAATTCAATAAGAATGTATTGCAGGCGCTCATAGGCTACAGTGATCGTTTACCATCAGTCGGGCTATATGCTTGTTTGCCACCTTTTTGGTATAAAAAACCACAATGGTTTCCAAAGAAGACCGCGTGGAGATCGGCATAATAGAATATATTGCTACCAATGAGAAGCAACCCCTTATTTTAAATACACAATCGAGATTTAATGCGATGTAAAACCTTTTATAGGTAAATAGGGCCTATGTACTTGCTTCTTTATTGCCGACGTTTCAACGTGAATTGCACCACGATGTAGACAAAATTAACCCCCTTATTATTAAAAATACTTTCCCCTCGAATATCCTTAAACGAATCGATATCTATTTATTTAATACGATTTATCCAGAAATGTCCACTCTCACTTCATCCGGGGCTATATAGTATTAAAAGCTAAAAGTCATTTTAATATCTTATGATATTTTCATTTAAGTTATTTTAATATGCCTACTCAACAAAATAAATCATTTTGATATTTTTTCAATAACTACTAGCAATAATTTAAAATTGTATTCTCGAGATTGCATGTTTACAAAATAAATCGTAATGAACATAGCTGTAACTTGAAATGTCAAAATAGTACAACAGCGCCCCTCGCGTTATTTATTAAAACTACTTTAACTTCGGACTTCTGTATGCACGTTTTTCCGAAGAAAATTTATATATTTAATTATTTCCGTGTAATTTTAATCTAGAATCGCTTGACGAATACTTTAAAATATAGCAATTTATTATTGTAACCCAGTGTTTTGTTTTTAATAAGTGATAACGTGTGATAAATTATTTGCGTAGCATAATTCAACTAGCGACTACACTGCAGTTCTTAAATTAGGTGAGTTAAAACATTTTCTGTATCAGCATTAGTGTATTTTAACTAGTTTCTTACTTTATGTTGACCTTACTACATTTCCGTTGCATAAACATTGTGAAATTCATATAAGAAGTAAAGATATATGGGCGACTAAAATTTTCTTCTCGGTTTATTTATTCAGTGGTAGAGCATATATTATCGATTTCTGAATGCATATATGGACTTGTTTAATTAAGGGACGGTCATATAATGTTGTTATGTAATTGGATAGTAAGCATGTTTGAATTTGTAAGCCAAATTGTATATTGTTTTGATTACGGACTTGGACGTCGATTGTCCTCGTACGGTGAACATTTCGTATTTCAAAATACGAGTACGTGTCTGCTATTTATCTGGATTTCTATAATCAAATCTTTATAAATTAATACAATAAATTTTATCAATAATAGGTACTTAATTATAAATAATTAATTTACATCAAATACTTTTTTAGCTACTTCTTTACTTCTGTCTATCAGTTAAGGGACTTCATGTGATGATAAAATAGAATAGAATTTTATTATATATTAGAATAGATAGATATATTAGATATATACATAATAAAACAAAATAAAATAAAAATTAAAAAAAAAAACCTGTGCACTAAAATTGAGCCCACAGCAAATAATTACTTTTAACTTTTCCATCTTGTAAAAATAAGGTTGTTATATTAGTTTAGGTTACACTTTATTTATAAAAGACTAGTTGCATCCCACAGCTTTTGTTCAAGTGAATTAGTACATAAAGTATGCTGTATGCTAAATTAGGATATAACCTATCTGTCTACCAAATTTCATTAAAATGCATTCAGTAGTTTTTGTGTGAAAGAGTAAACAAACACCCGTCCATCTATGAAAATTTGAAAATTTGAATCGTATCTCCAGTTAGTCCCAAAAAAATTGTTTGATGCTTAATCCTAATAAAAACTATCTATAAATGGGAAAAAATTATCACATAAGAAAGACATAATATGTATTTGTATGAATATAAACCTATTGATCAATTTCTGAATGCTAATAGAATATGTTTTCCTAAATCTTCATTTTGAAACATATATTATGCAAAGGGTGAAAAATATCGTCTTAAGTTGCTATATTTTCGGAAATATCTAACTGTTTCTACTAGGGAAAAGCTGATAGTGTATGGCCCCTGCTTGTTGTCTAGAACTGAACGACTGATCCAGAGAGTGCAAAATGCATGTGCCCGGTTTTGCTATCACATTCCTCCGCGCCATCATGTTACTCCTTTCTTAAACAATGCCGGTATCATGAAAATGTTTTCACGTAGGAAGTTGCATCTTGCATGTTTAGTGTTTAATATAATAAATACAGGTAAACCTCAATACCTTTACGATAAATTATCGTGGGCGCAAGAGCATAGTATATATAATTTAAGAGTAGCTTCTATACGTTTAAAGGTACAACGACATAGAACTGCAAGTTTTCAGAGAGGGTTCAAATATGCAGCTTCCAAGATCTGGAATGACCTCCCGCCTCCCATACGAAATTTAAAAACAACTTATACTTTTAAAAATTATGCTAAAAACTATTATTTAAATCTACAAAAAGCATGTAACTCCTTGTGATTGCATAACATTGCTGCTTCGTTGTATAATGTAGTGTTGTTGTATTGTTATTGTATTATTGTTGTACATATCTATATGGGTATATCTTGTCAGTTAAGTGTATGTATGTATGTATATGTATGTGTATGTGTGTGTGTGTGTGTGTGTGTGTGTGTGTGTGTGTGTGTGTGTGTGTGTATGTATGTATATGTGTATATGTAGATGTATATAAGAGTATATATATATATATATATATATATATATATATATGTATTTATATATATATATATATATATAAATACATATATATATTTGCTGTCGTCGTTCGTAATGTCACGTATGGGCACCACAGAATATCAGCGCTGTAGCAATTAAATTGCTGCAGCACATGCTGAGTGGTAACCATGTTGGCAATAATAAATGTAAAGTTTATTTTTTTTTTAATTCATAATGTATGTAACTTTTTGTTGTTGTCAATAAATGTTTTCTTTCTTTCTTTCTTTCTTTCTATTCATGTAGCCATCCTTACGAACTATCTGTAAATGGATTTAATTATCACATAATATTAATAATATGTCTATTGTATGAATATAAACCTATGTAATTTCTGAATGCTAATAGAATATGTTTTTTTTTTATACAACTTAGAATGGCAAACAAGCTGACAGCCCACCTGATGGAAAGTGATAACCGTCGCCTATAGTCATGAGCAATACTATGGACATAACAGAGTATACTGTTTCGCCCATAATACCCCCCATGCGTTGCCATTCCTGATTACTCAGGTGGCAACCTATTCCTATGTACCCTGTAAATTCACTGCCATATCTCACCCTTCAAACTGAAACACAGCCATGCAAACACAACTGCTTCACGGTTGAAACACGAATGGGACAAAGGTACCCAAGCAATTAACTTTTGTATAAAGTCATATATTATCAAAACAAATATTGTTCAAGGATTTTTATTCTGTTAATATTTATTATAATAATAATTTTTTTTGTTATTAAAAACTTGGGGTTAATAATAATAAATTGTCCTGATTCTATTAAAAATGTGAAAATTTATAAAAATAGATGTTTGTTACTCTTTCACACAAAAACTATACGGATTTGAATGAAATTCACTTCATAGATAGGTTATGTCCTAATTTAACAAATACATATAAAACTTTATTTATACTGAATCATGCGGGAGTAACCACAGGATACAGCTTGGGTACCTATGTCCCATTCGTATTTCTACCGTAAAGTAGTTGTATTTGCATGGCTGTGCTTTGGTTTGAAGGATGAGATATGGCGTGAATTTACAGAGGAATAACATCTGAGTCCTCAGGAATGGCAAAACATGGGGGTATCATGGGTGAAACAGTATACTCTGTTATGTCCATGGTTCTGCTCATGTCTATAGGCGACAGTTGCCACTTTCCATCAGGTGGGTCGTCAGCTTGTTTGCCATTCTAAGTTGTATAAAAAAAATATATCTTTTAAGATATCTTCCAATGAATATTTCATAAACAACCAAACATTAAAATAATTAAATGATATGAGGCAGAGATATTGATGGCCTTGGTGTGTTTAATTTATTGTTAGAAGTTTCGTAAGTGAACATTATGCTTTATTGCAAAAATAATAACCGGAACACTAGACTGATGTATATATGTATTTTCAGCCAACTTTAAAGTGTGATTTTCTTAATTCCTTTGTATTTTTTGTATTTTTCTTATATATGTTACTGTTGTATGTCAAAAATTCAATGTGTCAGTGTTTTTCTAGAACCACCCTCACTGTTATAACTTGTATAACAAAAAATAACAAAAAGCAAATATTAATCATAATAATAGATATTTTTTTTTTACCCAAAATTGTGTAAATTATATGCAATCTGGCAACCCCGCTGCCAGTTATCAATAAATCTCCAGGCAGCATGAGACGCGACAAACGATGCGTCGCGTCGCTCCGGCGTCGAGGAGCGACACAAGCGTTCGAACCGTCTGCCGATGTTAGTCACGTTATATTTTCGTCTCTCAGTAGGACAATGTAAGATATATCTACAATGATGTTATAAGATTTTATGCACATACAGTCAAAACACAGAGTTATTGGCTCTTGGATCCTGACAAATGTAAATATTTGTCTATATTTATCCCCCAGGGGGGAGAAAAGATTGTCAGTAATGGGGACTAGTAGCCCCATTGCATTACATCATATCAGGTCGGCGTCCTAAAGGTTCCACCTGGAACAATCGTGCCCAGTTTTAAATGAATTCATCACGATGTACTAACTCAACTATCATTCCTACCTTGTCATCCTTAGCGCAGGGGTTACCACCATTTTAATCCTCACTGGTGCTCCGTCAGCGCATACTGTTAATGCAAGCTCAGTTACTATTCCATTATCATCCATTTAAAAAGTATATAAGCATTTAGCACTCTGTAATCTCTGTCTATCTTGCAAGGGATTTGGCGTGAAGACAATCTATTCCAAAAAAAAATTTTGGTCATGCAAAAACC